ACCTCTGGCCTGTACCCCAGTTCTGTATGCACAAATAAATAAATCTTAAAAAAAAAAAAGTTCCCCCAAGTAGAGGTAATAAGGCTGCAACCTACCGGTGGGGGCCAACTTCAGTCATGTGTGGCCTATTCTAATTCTCTCCTACCCGCTTTAAAAAAATGGAAGTATAAATTACCTGCAACATTATTTTAGTTTCAGTGTACAGAGAAAATTTTACAATTGTATACATTGTGAAATGATCATTGCAATACATTTATTTACCATCTTTTCTTAACAACTTTCAGATTTGTAATACCATGTTTTGCAAGTAGGTTCCCATACTTACATCACATCTCCTTGACTTATTTATTGCTGTAGCTAGAAGTGTGTCCATCTTGGTCTCCTTCGTGAATCTTTCTGGCTCCCCCAAACTCCAAGCCCTCCTTCGTGTTGGTAACTACCAATCTGTTTTCTGTCTCTATGATTTTAGTTTAGCTTACTTAGGTTGGCTTTTTTTTTTTTAGTTTTCATAAATAAGTGAGGTCATAGAGTGTTTGTCTCTTGCTCTCTTACTTGTTTCACTTAGCATAATACCCTCAAGATCTATCCATGTTGTTGCAAAACCAAGTTTTCGTTCTTTTTCATGGCTGATTAATATTTCATGTGATACAGTTGTGTCATCTAAAGCCAGGTTTATGTTCTGCAAAGTTTGTCTACATTGATGCACACAGGCTCCCCCCCCCCCATATCTGTCTATTGTAAATATGTTGCAATGGTAAGGGGCTACAGCCAGCTTTGTGTATTAATATTTTTGCTTTCATCTAGTAAATACCCAGGAGTGGAATTGGGGGTCATACAGTGGTTCTATTTTTAATTTTTTTTAAAGAACCTCCACATTATTTTCCACATTCCCACTAATAGAAAAGGGTCTTCTTTTCTCCAAATTATTGCTAACACTGGTTTCTTATCTTTTGATAATAGCCATTGTGGTCGATTTTTTCTTGTGTTTTTGATTTGTATTTCCCTGATGATTAGTGATATTGAGGTTCTCTTCATGTACCTGTCACTAGCCCTGTACCACATCAACACACCAACATTGAAAAATAGCAATAAAGTCCATTTACTGAGTGTGTGGATCAAAGGGAAAAATGTAAGAGCCCTTTAGAAAACTCCTAATGTAGATCTGGCTGGGCCACATAAAACCACTTTCTTATTCTAGGATGGAAGAAGGGTTCTCACGAGGAGGGAGGTCACAGTACCAGTTTACTAAGTGACTGTAAAACCAAACCCAGCAGCCCTCATGATACCCAAGACTCAGACCTCCTATTGTCCCATCCTTCCTCCTAACTCTTGTCTACTTCAACCATCAGTGTTTCACTGGAAGAGTTGTCCAAGATCATTAGTGGTCCTTAACACTTGGAGTTTCCTCACACCTGTTCCTTCTCAGGGGTCTTCTTTCTGTCCCAGGGATGCTGATGCTGACCACTAACTCTAAGTGAAGTGTAGGCTGTAGCTCCTGTGGAGACAGGGCTAGTGCATGATCAGGGGGTGGGGCTGCCTTTCCTCCAGCAGCCCTCACTGAGGGCGGGGCCCCACCCCACCACTTCATTCTGCTGGTTTTCAGGGGAATGAGCTTCTAAAAATACAGAAGTTTCTGACCTTGAAGGCTTTGGAGCAGATCTGGGCAATCATGGATTTAAGACCACACTAAGATATACTCATTCCAGGACTGATGTAAGCTGTGCCCAGCAAGTTTTAAGTACAACACTGTCACTGATTTCTTAGGGAAACTCTGTGAAGGAATCGTTGACCTGCTCCCAATGCTTTCCTTTCTTTTGGTATAGACCAAAGATCAGCTCATTGCCTCTGCTAAGAGAGTTGCAACTTCTGGCCAAAACTTCTCTAAACTTATTTGCATCATTGCCAAGAATTGCATAGATCAGAGATGTTCCCAGGAGCTTTTGTGTGTGGTAGAGCAGATTCAAACAATGAGCAACCAACTCCGAATCATCTCCAGGTAGGAAATGACTTTGGTGGAAGTGCTGTGCTCTGCTTTCTCAAGGCCAAAGGGAGGACTTGGGCGGGGGGGATGTATCATTATTTCTCTTGCATATTACTTTTAGTGTTTTACCTTCCAAGACTCTACATTTATTTGTGAAATGTTAACAAAAGTTGAAAATTTAGATAATTGCTACAAAGGATAAAAATCACATTTAAGGGGCCTCCCTGGTGACACAAAGGGTTAAGTGTTAGCACTATGAAACAAATCTCCTCACTGCAACATGAATTTGATCCTCTGGCTAGGGAGGTGACCCATACAGCACAGCAGGCCTCTCCTGACCGGAGCTCACACTGCGCTGCTCCCCTCAGCAGTGTATTTCAGTCAGTCTACCAGTTCTGCTCCCCACTCTGTCTCTGGTGAATCTTCTCACAGTCCCCCACCACCTGCCACACCTCTGGCCTGCACCCCAGCTCTTGTATGCATACATAAAGAAATCCTTAAAATATCATACCCATCACTGTCCTTTCTCATTTTATCACAAATATACCATATCTGCAACATACATAGGGAAGAAAGTCGATTTAAGGTGGAAAACTAGTTCCTGAGTTACTTGAGGCTGCACTCTTACTGGGCATAGCACCACTAACCTGCTTTCTTCCTGTTAACTCCCAAGTGTAAAAGCCTCCCTCGCAAGAAGCAAGTCCTCTGAAGAGCTCCTGGTGGGAAACGCACAGCAACTCCTCAGGGCCGTGGCCAAGACTGTGAGGGCTGCAGAGGCTGCCAGTCTCCGGGTAAGTGCGGCCCCCAAGAGTGAGTGCTGGTGTAGAGCACAGAGCACAACACCCGACTTGGCATTCCAGGCTGGGCGTGACTGGTCAACTGGAAAATTCACAAGGAAAATCTGCCTAGCTTTCTCCTCTGGGGATTTGTGAGATAGCTTTAGTCAGGATCTAACACTTTTCGCTTAGTGTGTCACCTCCTCATGGTCAGTCTGATGACCAGAATGCTTGCACAGGGATCCCAGTCCATGATGCAGCCCACCTGCTCAAACAGGACCTGGGGCAACTCGCAATGCCAGCTTGCAATTTCCCTTACCCAGGCTGCCTCGGGTCCTTCATGAACTTCCTATTTCCTGGTGTTACCCGTGTGTTTAGTGAGGGTTTGGGTTCCCAGGCAGTTTTAACAATGTTCCCTTCGTCACTACTCTCAGCTCAGCATTTTCCTCTGGAGCCTGCCCCTCACAGACAGTCTCTCTCAAAGTCCCTGCCTCTGCCAAGCTTACGGTTACCGCGGCTTGATGCCTGCCGGCCAGAGAGGAGGCGGTGCTGCTGTTAGTGGTCCTCACTCAGCTTCAGCTGTAGGCAGGTGGCCACTCTCTGGTCTCAGGCACCGGGCTTTCTAATGAGCCCGCTCCTCACAGGCAATAGGAGACTTCTAACAGTGAATTCCAGGCTGTTTTCAGCCTTCTCCAGCAGGGCAGAGGGCTTCACTCTCTTCTGTCTCCCCTCGCTCTGACCTATTCCCCGGGGGTGAGAGGATTTGCTCTTCTTCCTCAATGGCTTTAGGCTTTTGTCCTATGAAGAAGAGGTAGATAGGGATTAGCGCCTTTGTGGCTTTTGCGGGTGCTCCCCTCCCCTCGCCCAAGCCTGCTCTGCAGGGGGCACTCCAGACCTCTGTCCTGCTTCAATTCTTTCTTCTGAGCACCAGGTGAGATGCTAAAAGCCTGTGAATGCAAGGCACTCTAGGGATGGTAAACAGGCGAATCAGTGTGGGAATTTCATGAGGGCTATAACAGATGAGAAAGCATACGTTGTAAAAAATGAAAAATGATGTAAAAAAATGTGTGTGTGTGTGTGTATATATATATATATATATAAGTAAAAGTAAAAGCCTGTGCATAGGTGTGGGTTTTTCTTGTGCTGTGGCTCCTACTGGTCCTGCCCACTCACACTCGTCTTCACTCGGCCATTATAATTTGGCAAGCGTTTTAGTTAAAAGCTTCCTATCAGATTATATGTAGCTTCATCTCCCTCCCACTGTCTGTCCTGAGGAGTCCGAGCTATGTCCATCTCTCCTTAAAGTGTCTTGTTTTTTCTTAGCTTTCAGACTTACCCTTCAACTCAGCTCTCTAATGGGTTCAAGAAGTTTTGACTCTGGACCATCTGACTTGTTCTCATTAGGGATAGAACAACACTCCCCCTAGCCTCCTGTGCCCTCCTGCAGGCTGAAACTGGGAGATAAGCCGTAAGCCTCATTACAATGCTCTGCTCAACAACCGCCCCCTACCTGTGGGAGGTCCCTGTATACAGCCCAGGTGTGCAGTAGGGTCCCCCATCTGGGCTGGTGGAAGTGTATTCTGTGTCGTTCCAACAAGGATGAAATTGCTGAATGATGCATCTCTCAAGAGGTATCCCTTTACCTGTGCCACTCAGCCTGCAGGCCGCACCCCAGCCCTCACTTCCACCAAATTGCCAATGTCTGTCTCATCTGATCCTTTAGGCCCAAACTAAAGCTCCTTCTCAGAGAGACAGAATACCCCTCACTCTCTTTAAATTCATTGTACCCAGTTTCCTCTATTTTTAGGACCTTTGTATTATTCCTTACTAGCAGTTTGTAATTATATGTCTGTTTCCTTTCCTGGCATTTATTAATTTGTCTCCATCTTTTGTTAGAATGTAAAGTCTGTGAAAACCACAGATAGAGAATAGTGGACTGATGCATGGAGGTGCTACAGAAGTAGAATGATCCTTTTCATTTAAAGTTTAAAGACATTTTTTGCTGGAGAAGCTCAAAGAGTGCATGGAATAGACATCTGAATGAAAACCATTTGCAAGATGTGCCTATTTTAGCTCCAAGTTCTAAAGTCTCTGAAAGCTAAGAGAAGAGCTCCAGGCTGGCCGTATGGAGCAGCTTCTGTCTCTCGCCAGTAGTGCAGCCACAGTCTACTTCTTTTCACACACTGAGGCCTGACTGGACACCACACTCCAGTCTTCAGCATCTGCAAGCCAGACTGAGTGCTTGCAGTGTATACCCGTGTCCTGGCTTAGGCCACTGGTCGAAGGCCCATGGAAAATTTGCACCAAGCGAAAAGAATAAAGCAAGATCCAAAAGGGGGTAGGATTTGGTGTAGAGAGGGAATTTTTAAAAAAGATTTATTTATGGCCCTCCCTGGTGGCGCAGCAGGTTAAAGCACTGCAGTAAGAAGCTTAAGCCACTTCCGCATGAGTTCGATTCCCGCCTGCCCCGGAGGAGACCACATGGTGAGGCAGACCTCTTCTGACCTGCCTGCTGCTCCCCTCAGCAGTGTACTTCGTCCATCTGCCTGTTTTGCTCCCCACTCTGTCTCTGGTGAAGCCTCTCACCACCCCTGAGCCTCTGGCCTGTACCCCAGTTCTGTATGCACAAATAAATAAATCTTAAAAAAAATTATTTATTTATGCATACAAAAGCTGGGGTGTAGGCTAGAGTAATGGGGTAGAGTAAGGTAAGAGATTCATCAGAGAGAGAGTGGAGTGCAGAACAGGCAGATCTATTGAAATGCACTGCTGAGGGGAGCAGTGGGTGTGAAAGAAAAGACATGCTGTGCCTTGTGGGTCAGCTTCCTTCCTGGCCTGGGACCAAACTCATGCTACAGTGGCTGCAGATAACTTGATAGCATTGTCTTTAACCCCTGCGAGAATTTTTTGTAACTGCTATCATTCTCAAAGCATTCTGTTGTGACGAACTTTGCTTCTTTCAAAATAAATGGCTTCCATTCCAATTCAGAAGACTTTGTCCACATGGCTCCTTGATTTCTATTAAATTAGGGCTAGAATATCAGAAAGCCAGTCCAGTCTCCCTCAGAGAAATCCCCTAAGAAGCAGCTCCAATCCACTGGCACTGGGAAGTGTATACCGTATGTAATTATCTTTCTCTCCTCCAGGGATTGAGACAACCTTCCCCAGATCCAGAGGAATTAGAAGTTGCTGCCTTCTGCAGGCAGTGGAGAAGAAACCTGCTAAGGCACAGACTTCAAGAAATCTCAAATCTTGACTATGATGAGCTAGGCCTGCGAAAAACAAGCAAGAAAGAACCCCCAACTCTTGCAGCCCTGGTGCAAGAAGCTTTGTAAGAGTTGAGAAATAGTCTTGAAGTCAAACTGCTGATATGTGTCTTGCCCTGCCACAGGGCATCCCAGAGTAGGAAGTACCTCCTAGGCAGAATCGGTCTGTATCACAGGGGGTTGGGTGATTAGGTGGGTGAGGAGTGACCACGACTGGGCCTTTTGCAGAGCTATCTCTACAGCATCCCAATTAGGGGGCTTCCCTAAGCTCCTGGGGAGGATACTTCCATTCATTTCTTTCATTCAACATAACTGAGATTCATCCACACTGCTATGTATATCAGTGACTCAGTCTTTTTCATTGCCTAGTAGTATTTCATCATATGGTTATAGGACAATGTGTTATTCACTCACCTATTGATAGACTTTTGAGTTGCTTACACATTTGAACTGAAACAAATCTACTATGAACAAACCTACTATGAACACCTTGTACAGACAAATGCTTTCATTTCTTCAGGAAGCTATCCAAGAGTGTAAAGGCTAGGTGGGAGTGTAAGTGAATGTTTTGTTTTGAAAGGAACTCCAAAATTATTTGTGGACCTTTCTTTCCATTTAATATCCTCCAGTGGAATATGAGCGTTCCAGATTCTCCATGTCCTCAACACTTGGCTAGGCCAGTCTTTGTTGTGTTAGTCGTCATATCACACTGCAGCTTTAACTAGCATCGTCTGAAAGATGAGTGATATTGGCAGCTACTCAAGTATTTATTTGCCATCCATATAACATGCCTCGCTGGGGTATTTTTTCAAACTCGTTATCTAGTCTTTTTTTCTGTTTTTCTTGTCATTGCATTTGGACAGTTCTTTATATAAAATTTTTCCACCTGTGTCAGTTCTGGGTTGGTTTCAATCAACTCATTTGTCTCTTCATCATGAGCCATCACTTTGCTTCCCTGCAGGCCTGGTAATTGTCGATAGTGTAGCAGATGTTTGATTTTGCTTTCTTGTGTACGGCTATTTCTGTGTGCTTATAATTATGGAATTTATTCTGAGAAGTAACTACATGACTTGGAAATAGTTTACTATTTTCTGTCTTGCTTTTAAGATTGATTAAATGCGACTAGGATAGAGTTCAGCCTAAGGTGAAGTAGTCCCCACTTCTTAGACGAGGCTTTTGCACACACGACCTATTAATACCTTGAGAATCGTGAGGTTTTCCCTTCTCTCTGGTGGGAAGAGGTGCTATCTTTGACTCTTTGTTAGCACCAGCCACTAATACCTCTACTTCTTCCAGATGGTTCTTTCTCCACCTTCTTGTAACTTCTGCACACATATGCTTTCAGTCCTGCTCTCTCAAAACTCCAGGCGATCCGGGGTTCTCTTTCTGTGCAGCTTTCCTCTCCAGTGCTCTGTCCTATAGACCTTCACTGCCTTGACTTCCCTGGTCTTTCCTCTCTGCCAGGCTCCTCTGAGTTCCTTCTCTGCGCAATGTTTTTGCTTCTTTGTGTGCCTGATAATCCTGGATTGGATGCCAGCCACTGTGAATTTTGAGCTGGTATGTGCTGGGAAGTTTTGTACCCCTATAAATATTCTTGAACTCCATTCTGGGATATAGTTGACTTATCTAGAAATAGTTTGATCTGTTCAAATTTTGTTTTAAAAACACTTTTGGGGTAGGTGTTAGGATCTGAGAAGCATTTCATCTAGGACTTTTTTTTGTCTTACTACTGAGACAGTACTTTTAGGAATTCTCTACCCAGGGTCTCATTACAAGGTTTGTCCACTCTGGATGGTGGAACACAGCCCTTGTGAACTCTAACTCTTTCAGGCAGCTTCATCCTGCACATGCATGGGGCAGTCCTTACTTGGGACTTTGCAGCTCTCCAGACGTTACTCTTTCTGCACCTCTACCTTCTCACACTCAGCTCTGCAAACTCCACTATCTCGTGCTTCATGGACACCCCACTCTGTCTCCTTGACCCTGGGCAACTGCTGGTTTATGCCTGTGTTCCCCCTCCTTGCTCCGCAGCTTGGAAAGCCTCCAGGAGTCAGCCATTCAGTTTCAGAGCTCATCTTTTATGCTTCCTTTTTCTCAAGGATCACTGTCGTGCTGTCTGATGCCCAATGTCTGAAGACCACTGTTTTGTCGATTTTGTCCATTTGTATCTCATGGTCATATGGTAGGAGGTGGCTATAGAGACCGAGTCCTTGTCTAGGCCAGCAGCAGAAGGTCTCCCTCTGTCTCAACTGTCTGTCCCTGGCATATGTCTGAGTCCATGTTTTCAAGTCAAATCCCCTGGGTCTCCTTCTGTCCCAGCTAAGTTCCTACAAATAATCATTTGTCATTGCTGTTTTCTCTCCTTATCATCCAGTTCTCAAAAATATCTTAGTTTTCCATTTTTTCTTATTTTTCAGGTCTAAAGCACTCTTCTCAGTCTCTATTACCTGATTATCAGATAGTCAGGTAAAAGCAACCAATAAGCAACTAGAACCATCTTGAGCAAGTCAAATTAAACCCTGGTTCATCTTCTCTGTCATCTTCTGTCAGTACAACATATATATGTGCAGATGCAACACACACACACACACACTTAAACAAGAAATGGCCCCCAAAATACACATTTCTAATTTTGAATTTGAAAGAAGAAATTTCATCATTGTAAGTAAGTGGGTTATTTGACCAAGGAGACAAACTCCATAGATGGGTCTTGACATAATGCTAATAATTTAAAAATTTCCAAATTAGTCTTAGAACAGAAAGCAAAATAAAGGCAAAATAAAGGCAAAAGCCATGCTGTCTCACCGCTTCCTAGATCAACTTATATATCCCAGTTAAATTTATAAAGTTCATCAAATAAAATCACAGGGCAACCTGTATTCTGAATTTTCCTCTGGAACTCACTATGCTTGTGTGGCTTAGCCTATGTCACCCTCTTCTCTTCTGTGTATATTAAAAACTGCATAAGCAATGCATTGCCAGATTTTCAGTGTCTGCTTCCTGAAAGTGAATGGCAGTGCCAAAACTGCCAACACCACTTCCCAGAATATTGAAGGAGATGCCTCGGGAAAGCCTGGAGTCTGTGTAAGAATTGCACAGACATCTGGTGGTCTCTGAGCCAGTGTTGCGTGGGGATAGTAGGCAAGACCTCAGAACAAACACCTTTCTTGCACAGTCAGCTGTCATGAGCTGTGGAGAAACAGAACTCTAGATGTTTGACAGGAAGTAGGCTGCTTTTCAGTGAATGTCTGTTGAGCAGCAGATCTTAGTTCATACACCTCAGATGTGGAAAGGATTGTGTTTGGTACAACTGGTTGGCCTTCCTCCTCAGCTTGCACCAGGGATTAGCAAGAGAAAATCCAATGTTCAAACTGGCTTAAAAGCTTAGTAGGATTCAGTCTTTTCCAAAGATGACATCTTGGTGTTTATGAGAGGGTGGGAGTGGGAGAGGCTTTTATACATTATGACATTAGAGTAGGGGAAGGGAGCCTTGTAGATTTGTGCTAGTCCTGGAGTGACCTGATAGCCACCGTATTAATCATTGACCACAACACATGCTGGCCTCTTTCGCTGTGTTTACACCTGCTTTGGGGTGTGGTCTCAGGGAACATCAATCAACTACCCTCACTGATTTTGCTTCTCTTCAGCGCTTAGTGGCAGAAAAACCCTTGGGGGGACCTCTCTCTGGCTTCTGCTATGGAGTCACCTCCTCTTACCACAGAGGACACTCAGAAATTGGGAGTGCCGGGAGAATCAGGAGATTCTGAGCAAGTGCTCTCTCTTGACTAGCCCACACTGTGATGGGGCTCGTATAAATAGTTTCCTCCCAGAACCTCAGACTGGGAACCAAAGTCCTCATCTCCCTCCATTCCCAAGGAATCAATTCTGGATACTCTTCTGATTAATAATCTTCACCCTTTCATTTTCTTTTTCTCAGAGTTGTCCAGTGAAAGAGTCATCCTTCCTCCAACTCATTTTGCTTTTGTTTGGCCCTTTGTAAGTGAAATTTTGGTCATGGTTCTCGAAGTGAGGACAAAGGAATAGAGGCAATTATTTCAAGACATGTTATGACTTTGCTGCAGTTCCATTTTGAGTGTCAAAGGTGCATAGCACCCTATAATTCACTGTAACAGTCTTTTCCTCTCTCCTTCACACCAACATCCCAATTGAATGGATGTCACAATGAGACAATCGTTTGCAAACTCAGGAAAACAACAGAGAAAGCCCATTAGTAATTAAAAAAAAAAAAAAACAAACCCTTTAATGCTGTTTCTTAGGAGGTGGCAGCGGCTATCAGGAATGCAGAGAGGCTTGGCTCACTATTGGGAAAAGTGACTCTGGGGCTAATGAAAGACACTTCAGGTGCTCAAGAAGCCTGTTTGTGTGCCTGTAACAGCAATGGGAACATTGGCTCGTTCTCAGTTATGACTAATACATCCGATTGCAATTTAGCTTTGCTTTATAGGAACATTTTGATCTTTTTACTTCTTGAATGTCACTGATGTGGCATGGAGCTCATATTTCACGACTCTAATTCCAGCTTGAGCAGCTCATGAACTTACTATCTGGGAGATCCCAGGAAAAGGCTATCAGCATTCTATCTTATTCATTAGGTATTTATCGACTCAGTGTGCAATAAAAGAGAATAGCAAGTGCATGAGCCTTTTCAAAGCTTTTCTAACTTGAAATTAATCTATTCAATCAATAAATATTTACTACCCACCAATAAAACAAAAAGGCAACCTACAGGATGGGGAGAAATATTGGCAAATCATATTTGGTAGCTGTTAATATCCAAAATATATACAGAACTCATGAAATGCAATAGCAAATAAACATTCCAATTAAAAAATGGGCAGAGAAATGAATAGACACTTTTTCCAAATGTAATTATCAGATGGTAAATAAGTAGATGAAAAGATACCCAGTCTCACTAATCCTCAGCGAAATGCAAATCAAAATCACAATGAGATATGGCCTCACACCTGTTAGAATGGCTACAATAAAAAAGGTAAGAGGTTGTAAATATTGGTGAGGGTGTGGAGAAAAGGGAGTTCTGTGCACTCAGAGTAAATATAACTGGGACAGCCGCTACGGGAAACAGTATGGAGTTCTTCAAAAATTAAGACCAGAGTGGATATTTATCTGAAAGGGGAAAAAAACCTAGCTTAAAAAGATATAGGCACTCCCATGTTTACTCATTATTTATATTAGCCAAGATAAGGAAACAACTTAAGTGACCAGTGATGGATGACTGGATAAAGAAGTTGTAGTATGCATACATACAGACATTTACTATTTAATGATGCAGTCAATGACAGGCGGTATATATCACAGGGGTTAAGTCTCAGTGCTATCACAACTGTGACCTTTGTTGGATCCCTGGCCAGGGAGCTAACCCACATGGCGCTGCAGACCTCTCCTGTCTCGCCCACTGCTCCACTCAACTGTGTATATCGGTAGATCCTGTTCTGCTACCCTCCCCTGACTGTTTTGGGTGAACACCTCTCCTCACCACCTCCCCACCCCCACCCTACACTCTGTTCTACACTGCAGCTCTTGTATGCATAAATAAAAATAAAATAAAACGAAAATCCCCAAGCATACCTGTCTAGCATATATCAAGGCTTCAGTGCAATCACCATAACACTCTAGGGCTCTACAATGCTAGGAAGACAGCAGTGCCATTGCAGAAGATGACATCGGAAGGGCAGAACCACCACTAATGTGAAGATGGTAGAGGGACATGATTTGAAAAAAAAAAAAAATGATTTCCAACTCAAGATCTTAATGATTTCTAAAATGTATCCTTGTGTACTTGTTTACTATTTACAAGAAAGAAATGACTTATTCAAAAAGCTGTCCATCTTATCTCAGAAACTCAGCACCTAATGCCGCATGCCAGCTGCTCAAGCAATACTTTAAATAAGTGAATGGTTCCCATTTTACCCCGCTGGAAGGCACTGGTCAGTAAAGTCCTGCCTTGTCTAATGTCACAGTGCCCAGAAGAGAGTACACTGGCATGAGACTGTGCTAGCACTCAAGAAAGAGATTCCGACAATGGGTTGTTTACTAATTAAATCCAGTGTTCTTCTAGGTAACCTTATTTGAAAATAGCATTTTTGATCAGTAACCATAGTAGAAAAAAGAGTCAGGAAACATTTTTAATGAAGCATGACCAGTCATTTTTTCTGCTCCTATCCTTAGAATGATCAGTTGCTCTTTGAGAGCATTTCCTATGATGAGTTTTTATTTTTTATTTGAAGAGCTCCTGCTCTAATTTGAGAGGTACATTTGCTCGCAACCTCTCATTTAGATCCTTTAATGGAAAATTAACTTAAGCTAATGCAAAAGATACTTCCCAGAATGCAGGCAGTATCAGGACCTTAAATATTTTTGTGTTAAATGAAACACAATCTCTGTGTATTAAGGATAAATTTCAGGATAAACAGCTTACTGCTATCCCCTTTTTTCAAAAGGACCTGGGGTGGGCTCCATTTATAAGTGCCTATATGAGTACATGACTCCTATATTCTGTCTAAATGCTGAAGATTTATTAAAGCAATCAACTCACTGCCAGACAAGTATTATTAGAAACATTTTTATTTAAAGTTGGACAATAGAAAGGAGTCACAAAAAAAATTACACAAACTTGCAACAGAATGCACCTAAGAAAGGTAATTAGTAAATGAGAAGGAAAAAAGATATTTCTGATTTTACCAAGCAATTTGTTAGTCATCAAATGGAATAACTGATCAATTCGGCAAGTAAACCCTTGTTGGCATCTCTTGAACACAGCAGGTAAACAATTTAATCTACCAAATTAGCATCTACTAAAACCACCCAAAGTGAAACAGTCAAGGCAGCATTTACCCAGCATATGAGATACAACCTGCGGAACTGAAATAATAACAATACTAGAAAGTTTAAAACAAACAAACCATCTCTTAATGGCTTTGGACTGGATTTCAGTCTACACACATACACTGCATTCTAAGACAAACATGCCACCAATGTCCTTGCTATGTGCAGGCAAAGAGGCCTAGACCGAAAACAAAATGATACAGACCCTGGGGCCTGGAACACCTGCCCTTTCTGAAGGGTGGGAGTGGGGTTACAGTAAGGAATGTACACATTTTTAAGCTTTGGCAAGAAAGTATACAGATGACCATTTCTTGATTGTCATTTTTATAAGGGATTATTCTACCTCTTGAAAACATATTCTTCTATCTTATTTGACTTCCCTCTCAAACATTTGGAGGGCAAATTCTTATAAAATAGAGGTGGACTAAAACCTCATCTGTCATAATGGTTATTTTTCACTTTCGCTATTAAAAAGCATATAAAATGTATAGTTTATCATTGAACAATTAACACCAAGATATTGCTCATTAGTGGAGATCTGGGAACAACACGACTAATTTTTTTTAAAAATTAGACCTCTATATATTTAATTCCTATACAATAAATTTCATATTGGAGCTGACAAAATAAAATTTGCTGATGGAAATTTCACCACTTATCTCAACTTTAGTACCCTCACAGAGGTAGTAGAATCAGTAATGAGCCAAGAAGTATGCAGTATTGATAATTTACAGCTGATTTTTTCTAAAATGCATTAATTTGCTGAGTACTAGTTTTCTTAAAAATTCTGTTTAAAAAATGAGATTCAAAGAGAAGTAATGTTAAAAAATACTATTCTAAAAACTCATCTCATTTGGAAAAACACATTTTCTTTATACCAACAATGATTTTACCAAGAGTAGCACATGCGTGTTCTACAGGAAATGAACGTTCTATTGTTAACGAAGGGTGTTCAAGGATCAAACACCAGATCTAAACTCAGCCAATTCATGACCTAAAGGGAAAATTACTATTTGTGATGTCAAAATAAAACAAATTTTAAATTCTTTTGGTGATTTACTAGGTTAGATCTATCTTTGTAATTTTGGTTGATATTTTGAGAAGAGGAAAATAAAAACATAAGATTCAGTTAAACAGTTCTTTCTGGCTCTGAGACTGGAGGACCTTCAAATTTAAATTACTGCAGCAACACTTAACTCCTAAGTAAAGCTGCCGTAACCCTACCTTCACATTGTTTGGTTGGAACAGAGGAGACAAAAAAAGAGAAAAGTAGGTGCCCTGCAAATAAGGCATAATTAATGAGCTGCTATCTTTCTAATACAGTCATGGAACACTTCTACCACAAGTGCTCTAACAGGTGACAGCACCTATAAAATGTAACCTTGGGTGGGTACTGGGAAGCAATTTGGCACATTACCCACTGTGTGCCCAGAAGTAAGCTTATGCTAAGGGGAAACAGAACAAGTGAAGAGAAACCTATGGATCCTACCTCCAAAAGCTTAAAATGCAGTTTAAAATGTGCTTTTCATTTCTTAGTTGAACACTACAAATTCTAAATATTGTTAATGTTAACAAAGTCCATTATTAGGTCTATATTCTTTCCAAGAGAGGCAGGTTAATTTGGGCTTTATTACAATTGCCAGATGCTGCTGATAAACAACATTCCAGCAATGGTGAGTGAGGGTAGCTACTGAAATTGATTCCAAAAATCACATTGAACCACTTGGGGCATGACATTACATAAATGCTAAATCCTAACATGTGACAAAAACAGCTTTAAAAACCCAGGACCTGTTTGGTAACATGTTAAAGTTTAGATGTCCAAAATAAATCTTATTTAAACTATTTAAGTTTACAAATGACTTTTCCTTCTAACCTCAATTGAACACATTATCATCAAGAGGTGTCAAACCATTTCTAAAATGGTAATTATAATTCTTAATTTCAGAAATTCCAAGAGGCCAATTACTGAAAATTGCAAGGGCTGTATCAATGGAATTGACTATAACCCACTCCTTTGACTTACAGACTTCAGCACAGACCACTCTTTGGAGACCAACCACCAGGGCCAAAGGGTAAAGTCGAGGGAACATTTTACATTTTACCTTAAGACCCCATGTTGTGCAAATGGAAACATTTTGACAAGACCTCACATCTTGATTCCTAGGACCAAGTAATCAAAAGAAAACACATTTTTATCAAACAAGCAGTCACTGAAGAACTCAGTGTCACATGGTTGCAGAAATATACACTAAGAGTGGGAATAAATATTCTTGTTTCTAACAATAAATGGCTTTTACTCATTGAACTGGTCACCTTGCCCCATACCACACATGCTCCGATTTAAGCAAAATGTATGATGAGTCATAGACTTTAGCCTTCCATCAATATCCAACCTGTATAAAATAGGTGAGAACTTGAATAGACACTACAAGTCTATATAGTTCTGAACTAGGAAAGTCCTATGTCTTGCTGACATACAAAATGCATAAGGAACTGCTAAGCTGATAGGTTAATATTCTCTGAAACAACTTCTTAGGCAATTCTACTGTGTCTTTGGTGCTTATCATCTGAAATTTCATAAAACTGATGAACTGCACAAGCCATACCATGTTGTTAGGAAGTTCATACAAACTTAATGCACCCTATTGCAAGTGTTATGATTGTATTTGTGGAAGTCAGAAAGCAAGGTTATATTTATAAATACTTCAAGTAATAATTCGCTCATTCCTTACATCAAATTTGTGAGCAGTGAAAATCATATCCATTCCACAGATAAGGAGCTAGACATTGAAATAAAAATACATAAATTAATTCTGAGTAAGATTACAGATTTACTGTTTAAACCTCCCTCCCTCCCAGGTTCTCTTTTCCTCCCTCTCTAACTTAGCAAAGAAGCTTAGATGAAGTTCACACTGGACTGCTTTACGGATTAATTACTCTTCCACTCGTAAAGTATTATAGAACTAGCAAGGAAAACTACTATTTAGAGTTCTATGGCAAGTAGAAAGACAATATGGAATCTAAGTAAATATCATTTCATAATCAGATTACTTTGACTGCAGCCTAATTCTGGGTCTTGGTACATATAGCTGGGTAACACCGAGGGTCCAATACAGAAACAGACATAATTTCTGAGACAGAATTTCAAATCACTGCATTTCATTCACTTTCTAGATTCTAACCATTAAAGCTTAGGCAGAATCTGAGAGCAAAAACTAACAATATGCAAAAGTAATTGAACAATATAATTTATGATCACTTGGGTGCCCAATTCAACAGCCTCATATATGTCACTCTATTCAAAAGTGAACAGGTATACAATTCTGTTACAAACCAGTAGGGATAATAGTTAAGTTACATCTCAATAAGACTCATCCAGATTTTTTTCCAGTTTTCTCTCTAAATATGTGACTTATAAACACAGGGACAGAATTTACTTTTCAGCGAACTTTTCATTTACTCCAGTAAATGCAGTATTACAGTTTCAGGGTAAATCAAATACATGAATTGTAAAAACACCAATTCACCTTAAAGAGAAGCATGTTCATAGGAGAAATTGAGTATTTGCTGGTGAGTAAAAAAAAGCAAAAAGAAGAATATCAAAATAATCTATATACAGACTATCTCCTCGCTAAAATCAAACATTTTTATATTAAATATAAGGTTAAATTTGAAAGTAAACCCAAACTTTCTTACAAAATTGCCTCTAGTACACTTGGTATAATAGAGGCTCAAAAACACTAAATAAATGAACACTACCTAACTGCATTAAAAATTTTAAACTTCCCTCTTAATATTTTAACTTCTTTTTTAGTTGTAAAAAGATCTTCTGTTAAAAAGCTAGAGTCCACTTTGCTACTTTAATTAGTCAAATGTGTGTGTGTATTCTTTGTGTCAGCTTTATCCATTTTGTTGACTTTTCAATTAGTACTAAAGTTCATTTGGACAGTAAATCAAAAAATATTTACTATGTTAGCCTCAAGCTGTATTTTTCTTTTAATTTTACTAAAAACTGTTCTCCAGAGCCATGTTAGGCTGTATTATAACCAAAGGCAGTATTATAATCAAAATATAAACAGTAGGCATTTATTCCCTCCCTTCTACTTAGAACACAATTAACTTAAGTAGGCAGAATTTGTAGACTTAACCACAATCCCATTTTAGATGAAGTCAGAGTAAAAAAATGTAAAAAGAATAGGGAGGATATACATTAATATTAAACCATATGCTATCTGTTAGGTTCCCATAGAGATATTTCATCTTTACGATCACTTCTCAAGGGTTGTTTTATACAAGGAATGATTTTTCTCTACTCTCACCACCTTTTATGATGAAATGCTCCTTTTCAACTTACTAATTGTCAGTGTTATCAGTAAACACTATCATACACCTACAGTGCAAGACATGAATGTTAGTAGAATACTTAGTTTTGATTACAACTAATATATATTCAACAAATAAGGCTGCTACTATTTATGCCACTATTTATGCCATGTACATGAGAATGAGTATAAATTATTTTTCATAAAAATGCAATTTCTAATCAGATTAGGTGATTTCACTGAGAGGACATTAAATACTTAAACATCAGACAGTCTCCTCTGTTATTGAATGTCAGTCAGGTGAGATCTGGAAGAGATTCTTTATTGGTAGCCATATACAGTTAACTGTATTTTTAATCTCTGTGTTTACTTGCTATTTAAGAATTATAGGATCTGGACATCAAAACATTATCAATGCAATTATCACTATAGACTCTCACTGGATCTTTTAAAAATTTGGTTAAAAATTGCAAAGTCATGATGTATACAATTATTGCAGCAACATCATTTGAAAAAGAAATACATGATGACGCTAAAGACAAAAAACAGAAATGAATAAACATCACAATGTAACAGTAGGAACTCATAAGTATTTAATATGAAAAATTAAAATTTAAAATTGTTAGAGAATTAAGGGATCTTTTACTTCAGCAAAACCATCTATCTCCAACTTTTAAGATACAACAGATAATAAAATACTTCAAAGAAATGACATTCAAATGCCTCCTTTACACAAGTAATATTGCCAATACTAATAAAAGTGATGTCATAAATGTGAACTGCTCTGCTAATTGTGATTTTAAAAATGTTTTCTTTACTTCATTTTACATTTTAGTTAGCAATGAGCATTACATATTAATCAGTTCTGTGTTGACAAAGAGAGAGAATCCTAGTCAAAATACTGTTTCTCAAAAGTAATATACATCATATTGCTTGAAACTAACAATCATATAAAAATGGCAATCATTTATCTAAACATTGATTATGAAAGACAACTAACTGGCATATATTCAAGCAGAGTGCTGAGTTCATGATGGTTTATTTACAATAAAAGTACTTTTACTGAAGCTAACATGATATATAGGTTTCTATGTCAATTACTACAGTCTCTTAAAGTTATAAAAATATTATATAAAATACCACAGGCTTTAGAGGATATAACTTCATGTGGTTCTGATACTAGCAGCTGAAAAGTGTTTATAATTTAAAAATAAATAAACTATAAGAGGTAAACCAGTTACAAAACAGCAGAGGACTGCAACAGTCACAAGAGTGAAAAGAATTGCTTAAATACACAATAGCTAACAAAATGGTGAAGCAGTTGGATCAAAAGTTTTAAAAACCTCTTTCAGAGATTTGTCATCTGTTTCTTTAGTGGGATCATTATCGGTACTGGGGCTCACCTGTCCTGGCTGTCTTGCCTGTCTTGGATCACTGTACTGTGGCCTAATTAAGCCTGTTAATGCCTGAATAGGAAGACTGTGTACTGCTGGAACCTGAATTAAGCTAGGACCCTTGATACTATCCACCGGTGGGTCAGCTGGCCCGTCAACAGAGACATCCACATTTGGGGTGGTTTTCTGTGGTAGGACTGCTTCTGCAGGAGAAGGCTCATTTTTATCACTACTTTTTAAACTACCACATTTTTTCTGGTTCTCTGCATTTTCTGTTGCTAGCTCTGATGTAGATGAGGAACCCTGTTCCCTAGGGTCATACAGACTAATACCACTAAGAACTGAACTTGTAGCTCCCAGTGGAAGGCCAGCTGAAGATGAGAGTTTAGGGGCATATGGAGGCAAAGCCCCAGGACCAGAATTGCTAACTACTGCCCTTGAAGGTTGCGATGAGACAGGATTTGATCTGGCTAGATGAGGGGCACCCTTTGGTGTATGTGACTCTTTCAGAAGGGCTTGATGAGACTCTGTATTGTGTCTGTGAAGTCTAGGATCAAAGTTTTTTTGCAGTCTAGGATCTCCTAATTTATTTCCTGAACTATGGGAGTCTCCAAGTTGTTCTAGGTAGCCTTCTCTGTTTGTTGTGTTAATTTTGGTTTTGGCTGCTAATTTTGAATCAGTGGATGCTGTATTTTGATGATCATTTTTTGTATTCCATAACCTACTGAGTCTCTGGTCAGCTATAAGAGGGGGCAGAGGTAAATTGATTGAAGATACTGGATCAGGTTTAGGTAAAGGAACTGGAAGTAAGTCTTCTGGAGCCCATACGATGTGTTTTGCAAAGTTAGGTTTAGTTAGGATAATATCCATTTTAATGTGACTGAACTGTCGCAGTTGTGACCTTGGATCTTGGAGCACTACACCAGGGGAAGAATCCAAAGGTATTAAGAAAGCCTTTTCTCTCAGTTCTCTTTCTGTATCTTCATCATCATCATCTCCTCTTTTGTGTTTTGTGCCAGCATTTGCATGATGTAAATCAAGTTTTGCTCCACCAGAGCCTACATGACTGCTTCCATTCCCTCTTAATTTCCTTGGATCCCACACAAGCCTAAGGTCCAGTGGAGCAGACTCAGAAGATTTCCTAATGTCTTGCCTTGGGATAGTCCTAAGTCTAGGGTCAACAACTTGGTTTCCTTTACTTTTCTCTTTAGCAAGTCTTGGATCTGTAGGGGTACTGGGCTCTGTGGAAGCCTGTTGCTGATTTCTTAAAGTTTCCGTTTGTTTCTGTAATGTTTTCAGTATTGACTTGACACTGCTTCCTTCTTCTTCTTCACTACTGGAATACCAGTTAACGGTATCATCTAAATGTAGACAAAAACTTATATAGTAAAGAACGAAGTATTTATATTTGGCCTTAAGATAAAAAGTAAGGGTACTCTAATTTTGAGAAAAAGCATCATGGAAATGTCAACATTTCAAAGCTGCAATATCACAATTGTAAGTTCAGTTCTTACATTTTACAAAGATGCACATACTAGAACATAAGTGATGTCCTTTTAGAGGAAAGTCAGGATCTTTCATTAGAAGTGACCAAAAGGAACTCAGAAGTTTGTTTTCTATGACCAGGTTTGGTGAAAATAAATAAATAAATAAAAACTATTGGAAAGGAATACTAAAATATTTTGGAGCTCTTAACTAAAGTAATTCTGATACTTCACTGCTCTGAATTTACCAATAAGGAAAACATATTAAAAGTCTAGAAAGAAAACAAAAAATGATGATTAACATTGAGAACTGAACAAATGAAGGATAAGAGACTTCATTTACACTGTTATATTTTTAGTTATTTAAACATTAAATTAAAAAAATAACAAAATTCATACCCTGAAATTTATATACTTAAACTGTATAAGAATGCTTTGGCCTTTATTCCTTAAACCTACTTCACGCTAGTGTGTCAGATACAATATTAAGAACCTGAACTAGAGGCATAAGGGATTATAAACTGATGCTTCACACGGGTGAGTCTCCTTCCTTTTCATTAAAACATACATGAGTTGTTTCCGATTGGGTATGTGAATGCATTGTGTTTGTATACACATATGCACATATATACACATACATAGATACATAGATATCATAGAATATTGAAGATATTCTCATTTTTACCTCATTGCACTGCTCACTAATGTGTTTCTGTTACATGGAACTTCAATGTTATTATACACTTAGTTTGAACAGAGCAGTATGTACAAAACAAGCAGTTGTATTTAGGGTGGAGATGTTTAAAATGGTATATACTTTATCACAATGCCAAAAAGTTTTACTCCTATCTCAATGTTTGAAAAAGTTTGTCTAGATACTACATCTCTTTTCTTCTCTTTGATCTCCAGGAAACCAAGGGTTAGACTTGTGTTTCACTTTCACCTGTTGCAGTTACTTTAAATATTTCTGTGTAATAATTTCATTTGATTTTGTTACTTATTTTCTTTCTACCTCATATTTTATCAGCAGTCTTAAATCCTTTTTGAGTGAAGTGAATACAGAAGAAAAATAGAACAGAAGAGATAGATCAATGAATAACAGTTTCTAGAAAATGATAGTTAAATGCTTTTGTCAGTTTTATATAGCAAAAGACAGATAAAATGTATAAAGGCATTAAAATTTATATAAATGGTTCCAAACACAAACATTAGTTATTGAAGATGTTTTCTATATAGAGAGAAAACAACCCTCTCACATAAAATCACCTATTGTATAATATACCATTTTGAATCATCTAGAAAAGTTTTAATTTTCTTGTTTATAAGTTCATAAAGCTCTGTAATACTTTACACAAATAACCAATGAAATGGCTGCTTCTTAAATTAAGTTTAGCACTTAAAGGAGTAAACTTAAATTGTATAAGAAATTAACTTACTAGGAATTCAATTTTCCTGTGATATGGAATTAAGAGTTAATGTTACCTTCACTGAAAAGATAACAATGCACACATAATAGCTTGTAGCTACCTACTGCTATCTAGTTTTATAGATATTTATAAACTTTAAGAGTAGCCAAAAATACTAACTTTGTAATTCATAAGAAAATGATGTTTTAAATTTTCTCTTCTCAACTTAGGGAGCTAAAGTTGTGCACTTACTGATTAAAAAAAAAACAGTAAGGTAAGCAATATCTCCACATAATTTTTTATATTAAAAATAATATTTCTTAATGATACAGCAGAACCTTAAGTATAAAGGGTATGCCCATAAAATTTTTCCTATTAACTAAATTATTCTGAACTTCTACAAGATGTGAAAATTCCTGAATTGGAAGATATTCTGTTCCTGTTCTATATCTTCTCTTTAAAAAGAAGAGAAAGTCTTATAATTAAAACAAGTCTGCTCACCCAAGGCTCACACTCTGGTTTCAGATATATTCACTATTCAAGTCAAATTACTAATGCATTAATGGCACTGAAAACCAAAACAATCCCAACATGGAATTATGAGGTAAATTCTAAAATAGGTAGTTCAAACGATCTAATATTTCAAATTTAAGACTTATTTCAGGCACTGAATGATCCCCAATAGATAAGTTGCTATCATAACATCTGACATACCTTCTTCCTTGTTTGATGCCCTTGGAGGCTGGGTGCTGCTTGGTTCTTCATCTTCTTGGTATTTCCGACTAAATCTGACAAAAAGAGCTCTCTGCATCGCAGGAAGGAGACTTTGTGTAGGAACAGGGCCATGAGCTGTCATGTTGCTGCCATCAGATCCACTCCCGTGGTTAAGTGAGTCTTGAATAATGGAAGGCTGATGCTGGGCAAATTCATCATGCCACATCCCATCTACATATACAATACAGAAAGTGAGAATAGTTTATCACAACATATTTTCATGAGATTATCACAAAGCACCATTAGGGAGTACCACTGTGAGTTACAAAAAAGTTGAAGTTCTAATGATATTCACACTTGATTATCAAATTATGTGATTATATATTTTTCAAAGTTTCTAAATTCAATTGTTATATAAAGATTTGGTTAAATTTAAATCATATGTTAAAGTTTTAATTTCATCACATTTACTTAACTTGATTTAATATATACATTCTTATTTTTTAATGAAAAGTGGGTCTCTACATATTTCAAATTAGAAATTAGTTATTTCAGGGCCTCCCTGGTGGCATAAAGGGGTTAAGTCTCAGCACTATGAAGCTATCCACAGCCACTGAGGCATGAGTTCCATCCCCAGCCAGGGAGCTAACCCACATGGTGCAGACCTCTCCTGTCCCCCCCGCTGCTCCCCTCAGCAGTGTATTTCAGTACATCTGCCTGTTTTGTTCCCCACTGTCTCTGGCGAATCCTCTCACTCCCTCCCCCAACCTCTGGCCTACACCCCAGTTCTTGTATGCATAAATAAATCTTTTTTAAAATGAGTTATTTCAAAAGGTAAGCTTACCACTGGAGTTATTGGGTGACTGAAAATTATGTACAGCATGCTGTGAATAGTAATTATCATAAAACTCAGCTGGGTTTTGGAGGGGCTCATAATTGATGTTGAGTTGCATCTCACTAGGACTTTGCAGATGTGATAAACCAGGAGAACAGTGATTCTCTCTAGGTACTTTCATCATATGTTCTGCAAAGCCGAGGCAATGGTAAGCACCACTCATACTTTGTGGTGTCAAAGGTGTATCTTGAATAAGTACTCCAGCTTGACTGGGAGGGCCTACAATTCCAGGTGGACCAGGTGGCAAAGGTGGGCTATGTGGCATTGGTAAACCAGGATGAGGTCCGGGGGAACCTGGGTGCATCACAGGACTATTTTGTCCCTGAGTCATATTAGATCCAGGACCTGGGCTTGATCCAGAACTATAGATATGTTGAGGATGTGGGCTGCTTTCCTGAAATTGTGGTCCTGGTGGTGAGGCACTATTATAAAATGCTGGTGGCCTGTAAACAGAAAGAATATTTCTTAATTATAAATGTTACAATCTAAATAAATATTGGTTAAGCATGTTTTTCTTTCTTTCTTTTTTTACACTCTAAAAGAACAGGTTTATTAGGAAAAGGAGAAAAAGAGATGTAGCTCCATAGTCACAGGTGGGTAAGAGAGATGCCAAGTGTTTTTCTATATCAGAATAGAATACTGTCTTGTTAAGAAGCAATGTATTCCACGTTACCAATAAGTAGAAACACCAACATATGCATCTAGCCTTCACTTTACCCAACAGTTTTACTTGCTGCTTACTAACAGCTGTTCTAACATTGATATTTTGAAAATTACAGAAAGATACAAAGATACTCTAAAATTACCTCTAATAATAACATACAGAGATTAAAAAATATTCTCTTTATTCCTTTTTCTAGGCAGAATTATATTACATAACCATACAACTTCTATTACAATTTTCACGTTGCTGCTGTTGGTATATGGGAACACTTTGTTCTTCTGAACATATAACTTATTATTTTTAATAGTTTTGTCAGTTGATTACTTTGGGTTTACTGGATTGTCGAATGGTTACGTCTGCCTTTCCACTTCTGATCTATGTCTCTTTCATATCTTTCTCTGTTTGCATTGATGAGGATCTGATAAACAATATTAACAAAATAGCAGTGTTTTCTTAACTTTAATAGAAATACTTTTGATGGTCACATAAATTGTAATGTTTGCTATTATTTTCTTAATCATCATTTGTTGAGATCTCATTGCTTTCCTGATCATTAATGGTTAAAAGGAAAATCAACAACGAGTCTTAAGGCCCAGGTGTATAGACCTAGCGGGGACTGGAATGGATCCAGCCAAGCCAGACGTTTCTTTTAGTAACCCAATGAAATACTTCTCTGAAAGAACCAAACATGCTGAAGACATTACTTACTATCTGAAGACATTCAACAGTAGTGAGGGAGGCTCATAACAAGGTGGGAGGAATGTTAACTCCATTTACCTCGAATTATCTTCAGGATTACTGGGTAAAGAGATTTCTGAAGCTGCCTTAAGAATTTCCTTGTGAGGGCGTGGCAGACCTCGCCTGACCCGCCCTCAGCAGTGTACTTCATCGATCTGCCTGTTCTGCTCCCCACTCTGTCCCTGGTGAATCCTCTCACCCTCTGCATCTCTGGCCTGTACCCCAGTTCTGTATGAATAAATAAATCTTTAAAAAAACAAATCTATGAAAAGTTTTTAAAAAAGAATTTCCTAGAGAGGCCCTCCCTGGTGGCCAGCAGGTTAAAGCACAGCACTAAGAAGCTAAAGCCATTCCGCATGAGTTCAATCCCTGCCTGCCCCGTAGGTGACCACAGGGCGAGGCAGACCTCTCCTGACTGCCCACTGCTCCCCTCAGCAGTGTACTTCCTTGATCTGCCTGTTCTGCTCCCCATTCTGTCTCTGGTGAATCCTCTCACCGCCCCTGCATCTCTAGCCTGTACCCCAGTTCTGAATGTATAAATAAATAAATCTTTAAAAAAAAAAGAATTTCCTAGAGAATAGCACTGATGTTTGGCATAAATGACAAGGACCAAGAGGAAAGCAGAAGCAGCAATCAAGGTCTCTACAACATGTATGTTTTCTCTACCTAAGTTTAATTACATAATTAACTTGTAATACAAGCTAATTCCTTAATAAGAGTCTTTAGGTGGGAATAATTTTAAAAAAATTAATTTAAAAAAAATTAACTTACTTTTTCCCAATCTTATGTGCTAAATCCACAGTAGGTTTTACGACTATTTCAAAAAGAGATGGAATTTTCCTGAAATCATCAGAAAGATCTGTCTGAAAATCATCTTCATGATCAGAAAAGGGAAAGTGCTCTGGGGGTGTTGGCAGAAGTCCAACTCCTGGAGGTGGTTTGGGGAGAGGAGTTATGCCACGCCTTCTAAGTTCTTCTAACTCCCGTTCATCTTCATTTGTGGGGTCTTCATCAGTATTCAATACCTTAAAAAAAATTGTCAAAGATTGCGGCATCAAAGCGAGCTTTCTTTCTCACTTTTAAATCTCTGAAGACTGCAGTAAACTAGTTGTTTTTTACTAGGAAAATACAATCGTAAAACTGAAATGAATTAGAGATCACCAATTCACTTTTGATAAAGAGTACAAAGAAGTAAATTTCTCAAAGTAAAACAGTTTTGTTAGTGGCAGAACAAAGATAAGGCCAACATTCTGTTTTTCTAACATATTATATCAGTAAAATAAAGAAAAATAATAAATTATTGATTCCTCAGCATTTTTAAAAATATGGTTTATAAAAATATGGTTTATAAAATTAATCTATTCAAAGATCTAACAAATAATGAAAGTGCAAAGATATTACTTACTTTGTCCAGAAGTTTCCTTGTTTCTTTAGTCAGATCATCATGTGAAAATTTACAGTTGTCTCCTTGGTAACATTTTGCTCCACTATGGTAGAACTTGCATGGAAATTCATGTAAATGCAAATATTAAGGAAAAGACCAAACAAAACAAAATCTAGTATTTTTAGACCAAAGTCTAGATGTGATGAATTAATGTGTCTTATATATTGTACTGAATTTTCTTTTATCATGTCAAGACAATTTTAAGATTAAATTACTTTAATTATACAGCAAGATATTCAAAAGCAATTCAATCTCTCTTATTCTATTAAAATGAAGAAACATTTTTTAAAAGAGTTACTTATTTATGCATGCAACAACTGGAGTACAGGCCAGAGGTATGGGGGTGAGAAAATTCACCAGAGACAGAGAGGGGAAAAAATAGGCAGACTGTCTGAATTATACTGCTGAAAGGAGCAGTGGATGGTCAGGAGAGGTCTGCCACGCCATGTGGGTCACCTCCCCAGACAGGGATTGAACTCATGCTGCAGTGATTGCCAATAGATTCATAATGTTGTGCTTTAACCTACTGTGCCACCACAGAGGACCCAAGAAATAATTTTTTAAAAAGATTTTATTTATTTATGCATACAAAACTGGGGCACAGGCCAGAGGTGCAGGGGTGGTGACAGAATTCACCAGAGACAGAGTAGGGAGCAGAACATGCAGACTGAGGAAGTACACTGCTTAGGGGAGCAGCCAGGGAGACAGGAGAGGTCTGCCATGCCATGTGCCACACCTCTGGGGCTGGAGATCAAACTCACACTGAAGCACTGGTGGCTTGCTTGCAGGGCTGCGCTTTAACCTGCTGCGCCACCAGGGAGTGCCCAAGAAACAAGTTTTTAAAGAAAAAAGCTTATGATGGTTATAGCAAATACCATGAAATACTGCAATTATGTAAGCTTTGCTATTTTCCACAGTAAAATATTGTCAGAATGAATATATTAATAGCAAGAGTTTCTACAGATGAAGAAAATAAAGGGATTTGATATGTCATGTTACAGTCAAATATCCAAACAATGAAAACTATATGTTAATCCTACTTAATATTTTGGAGACAAATTTTTAAAGAAAATATTAAAAGATGGCAAAAAACACATTTTCAAAGGTGTATATTCAGGGAACACATCTGAGTAGTTTAGAAACTTATTACTGTGATCATTTAAAAAGCTCTTAGCAAAATAAAAATATAATCATTTAAGTTGATTCTTTATAAACATCTAAAACCTATAGTCAAAAGTCAAAGTGAAAAGCATTAAAACATTACATAAAAAATAATTAAATAAGAAGTACAAGTATTAATTAAGTATAATTATCATTTATATTCAGATGACATGGCTATGGGGAAAAACACAAGACTAGGCTGAAAGATTGGGGAACAGAACAGGGAGACTAACAAAGTACACTGCTGAGGGGAGCAGTGGGGGAGGCAGGAGAGGTCTGCTGTGCCATGTGAATCACCTCCCTGGCTGGGGATCAGACTCATGCTGCAGTGGCTTTGGATAGCTTCAAAGTGCTGCATTTGAACCCCTCGCACAACCAGGGAGGCCCCACACATGATTTTTTTTTTTTAAGATTTATTTATTTATTCATACAGAACTGGGGCACAGGCCATAGATGCAAAGGGTGAGAGGATTCACCAGAGACAGAGTGGGGAGCAGAACAGGCAGATCGACGAAGTACACTGCTGAGGGGAGCAGCGGGCGGGCCAGGAGAGGTCTGCCTCGCCATGTGGACTCCTCCCGGGCAGGCGGGAATCGAACTCATGAGGAAGTGGCTCAAGCTTTGTAGTGCAGTGCTTTAACCCGCTGCGCCACCAGGGAGGGCCTGATTTTTTTTTTTTAAAAACTTCAGTGATACCTTAAAGCTTCAATTTTTAATAAAGGATATTATGCATATAAATGCAGTTCTCTCCTTTGGTACAATATCCTTGTAAATAAAATTTGCAGATCTCTTTCCTCTTTTCCAGCTCTGCATCATGATCAAATTTACACTGATCTCCCTGTTCACAAAAAAAAAAAAAAAAAGGAAGAAAAAAGAAACAACTGAATTAAATTTTCTCCATGATGTTTCATGGTGGAACAATGGTGATACCTTCAGTCTTAATGATGAGCTAATAATCTAAACAACCTACAGTGGATGTAGTTATGTGCAGATATAGCACAATGATCATGACTTAAAAGATAATGCCTGAGTTCCACAACATTTTTTGTAATTGTGGGTACTTATTTAATCTCTTGATTTAGTGATATATAAAACGGGGGTAATAAAAGTGACTACTTCATAACTTCATTGTTAGGATTAAAACACTTAATACTAACAACCCACTTTGAATGGTATTTTCCATACAGTTAGCATTTTGTGTTGGTTAAATAAAATCTGATTTTATTGTTGTAGAATGTAATTGAATCAGTTCTGATATACAGTATTTTCATGCAGGATACATTTTGAATAACCAGTTTTACTACAGATATTTGAAAGGTTAAAAAATTAACCACCCCCTCAAAAGACTTTAAATTTTAAAGACTACTTTGGAAACTAAAATAATTTATGACACCCCTATAAATTTACCTTAATACATCTCCCTTCCAGAAAGTATTTACAGATCTGTTTTCCTTTGTGTTCCACTGTGTGCTGATTAATAAATTCCTGAGTCATAACTTTCCATTTTTTCCCTGGTTTACTATACTGCAAGAAAAAAATCATTTGAATATAACATATGAAGTATTAAATAGGCATTAAAATGTATAGTCAAATGGATATAGAAAACAATACAAAATCACTATTAAAAATGGTAAAGATGAGACATTCTGAGGCTTTACATTTATTTGAAAAGAAATATGCTTCTAGTAAACTGCTTATTGCTAAAATCCGTTTCTATTTTAATAAAGATGTATCATTTTTTAAATTGTGAAAAGCCTGAAAATTAACAATAAAATTCATTTTTGGCAAAGGTACAATAAAATACATTGTTGATACATATCTGTATTGCTTGACACAAAATCTGTACTTTTTAGGACTATTTTGAAAGAATTATCAGGAAGGCACATAAAGATTTATTCACAAAAAGTAACTACTGTAGAACTATTGACACAGAAAAACAAAGCAAAATAAAATCCACAAAAACCCAGAATTGCTCTACCCATCAACAACTAGAAGACCAGTCAATCTTATTATATCATCTTTAGGTGGTAGAATATGCAGTCATTAAAACATCATGGTATAGAAAGACCAATTTTGGCACAAATTTGGGACTTTACTAAGTGAAAAATCGACTCCAATTTTATAATAATCAAAACAAGGGAAAACTAATAGAATACACTTCCATAGTGTATATAAATCTAGGTGGATATTTTAGAAAGTAGAGATTATTTGCATGTTTTTTATTTTGTATTTTCTTTTGGGAAAAAATACAGAGGACATATTACCTTTAACTTTTAAATTTAAAAATAATTAAGAGTGCAGAGTAGGAAATCTCACAAACTTATTTTCCTTAGTTCTTTAGTCTTCTACATTCAACTTTTACTGAGTATAAAGATTGAATAAGAACATATGATGTTTAACTGTGCTAAGGACTCACATTCATGATCTCTTAATAAACAGCATTGGTTTTCAAGCACTTAGCATGTACCATGCTTAGGTACATCATAGGAGCTCAAAAACTAGTTCTTCTTCTGATTTTAGTTTTCCTTTTCCCTCAATTTTCTAGAGATGGAGAGCAATGCACAACCTACTGAAAAGAAGAAATTGCCTCACAGCAAACACTTGAGGCAACAGACAGCTAGACTTAAATCTGATCTTCAGCATTAACTGAAATATATTTTATTATAAGAATTCTGAAAAAAAAAGAAGAGAATAGATAATTCTAGCCGTTCACTTTAAAAACATATCTAAATTGCCTCAGAAAAATATAATGAAATTACATATACTATACTGTGATGAGATCATTTAAAATGTCTTAATTTTATGTAAATTTGACTCGCAAGCATTTTCTATTTCTAGGCTCATTTTCAACAAGTATATATAAATGAAAAGCTCACAGATGCCTTTCATATAAAACAGTGTGGCTGCAATAAAACAAGCAGCCATAAAGTACATCTATGCAGTCAATGAGCCAGCTAGCTCATTGACTTTTAACTTGAAATTAAAAGGTAGAATTATTAGGTAATCATCATTTTAATATCTTGAAAAAATGCACCAAGTTGCACTTATGTTTCATTTGAAATGCACTCCCTGTAGATGATACTTTCTAATGACATGCCTCATCATTTTAAAAAGGTTGTGAGTGTAGGGTGGGGATGTTGTTTGATTTTTTAGTTTAGTTTGGTTTAAATGAACAGAAAGTATCTCAATATTCATAACTACAGGAACCTTGACTTTAATCAAGGTATAGAAAATGAAAAGCAACTTTAAAATGTTAAGAACTTAAGTGCCTAGAACATCTGATCTTTGACGTTTGAGTATATAGAAGAAGCAGAGAAGTCCTTTGTTCTTAAGCTCTCTTATGTAAGAGATGGAAGAACCACAAAAATGATCTAACATATCACTCTCATTGAACAAATAAGAAGACTGAATATTGGAGAAGTTAATGACTTGCCAAAGGTCACATGATGAATTAGACAGAATAGAACTTTTTGTACTACATCACACTATTGCT